TTCTACAGAACAAAACTCTGAGGGTTTCCAAGGTCTCAAAGTGCTACAGTCTTCTCTGGATACCATTACTACCAACAATAGCACAATTTGTAGAATTTTATGCTTATGTATTTGCTCAATTTTTTAAGGTTTTTTCTCCTAGACTCTTTAGAAAATAAAAATAATAAAGAAGTATCACAGAAGCCTTATCTATTTTAATTCTACACCAAAAAACCAAGATCTCACAAATACTGACGAGATCTGTGTTCCACAGACAAATTTCTGGATCAGAAAGCTTTACCTGAACAAGATAAGTGTCCCTATGAACATGAGCTCAGCAGCAATGACAAAAGAAAAGCAGCAGGGATTCTGCACAAATAATTATTAGGTAAACAGCTTTAAAAACATTTATACAGCTAAGTCCCTTGCAAGTCCAAAATTGGAGAAAATTATCATTAAGCTACCTTCACATAGCATTAATGAGTTCTTTTGCAATATTACATAACACACTATCTAACAGATATAAAGTATACTGCAGAGATTAATGTTATTCAGCTAAACACTTCCAATTCATTTCATACAGTTCTGCTTTGTTGTAGATTTTTGCTAAATATTTTTTGCAAAAGTATTCCTAATTTACAAAGGAACACATTAATTAACAGGATAAATATGTGTCTTTAATTGTATTGCCTGTTCTACTCTAAATAATACATGTCTGTGCCTTTTTGCTATCTTTATACTATTTTCTGTACTCAGTGTCTGACTGTTTCTGCATAGCACTAAGACCTTTACTTTTTGATCTTTTAAGTATCTAGCTTATAGCATCACAGATTCTAAAATATAAAGAAACAGTTCACTTTAAACACCATAAGAAGTTTGCATGACATAGATTTTGGAAAAATTGTTGCAGATATTTTAGACAAAGAGAAAAGTATAGGGTTATACAATTCTTTTTTATTCTGAAAATGTATATCACATTGGAAAATACAATAAAAAATTTATTGTAGCTGAAAATAAATATAGTTGTTGAAGGATGTAAGTCTGAACTGAGTGATCAAAATTGTAATAGTGAAGAAGGAATGAAACTTCTATTCATGGTTCATCACACTCAGGACTGTCATTTATTGCATAGTTATAACCATCTTCCCGCAATGCTACTTTATTTTTAACTGTTCAAAGTCTGCATCTGTTACTGTATCATTCCAATTATGAATATTTTTCTCTACCTTTATGTGCCACCTTCAAGAGAGAAATTATATACCTATCACTTTAGGAGTGGGAGTAAGAGCTCCTTTTCCTTTTAAAAAAATCTTTAGATCCATGTATAATTTTTAGTTAAAGACAATGATTCATTTCAATTAGTGATGCTTGTTGCTGGCAAAATAAATACTGTTTCTTGAAGCAAAGACTGCATGAAGATTACTCTGTTTTACATTTTACCCTACCTTTCGTGTACTGATAATTAATTAAATAGTACAGGGAAGTGCGTATACTGTCACAAATGGTGACTAAACTGATGCTAAAGAAATACACAGTATAAGAGTGCCATCTTCTGGAAATAATACTTCTTAGAGTTCTCATTTAAATTTAAACCTTGGCTTACAAGAAATATTAGTTAAAGATTAATGATGTTTACTTGCCTATTTGCCCTGTGTTTCCCTTTTCATTTGTCCATGCTTGTTTTAAAGTTAGTAGTCCCTCTACAAACTCTTTTCTATACAAGGGCCAGGAGAGTGTGAATTTAATTATCAGCCAGAGCGTAAGCTTTCAGGTTTATAAGGAGTTGTACAACTCCTTAGGGTTAAAACAATCACCTCTCAACAGAAAAGAACCAACTTTGTCTGGTTTTCAAAAGTTTTAATCCTTTACCTTAATAAGCTTTGACAAATTATAGAATAAACTGAGCCTTACTTCTCATCATTCTCTGAAACTTGAAACTGAATCCTCTGCTCTGTTCAGCCTGTTCTCCATTAGGAGTAAATCACTGATTATTACAATATGAAACTACTTGTTCCTCTGAGGCACAAACACACCCATACTCCACACATGAAATCTTCAGAGCCTTAGAAGAATTTTACAAGACAAATATTTTGGACTAACTGTTCCCTCTTCCAAATACACATGTAATTTCTGCTAACTCTGATAAAAATCTTCTGGTCAAGGTATCTCTATTTCTAATTAAAATGGTGGAGTACAGTTAGTTTTAATCCCACTGTTAACAATAAAATCCCTGTGCTCTATAAACATAGACAAACGAGGGACTCAGTAATAGCGCAATTATCCCTGCCTCCCCAAAGTCCTCGTACCCATAAATTGCATGCTTAGACTTGTTAAGTCTTTGCATTGCCTAGGAGATAGGCCTTGGGGAAGTGATGTGTAAAACACTGTCCTCCCTTTTTGCCTTGGAACCCAATAAAATCAAATTCAACCTACTGTACTTAAGATGGGATTTTTCTGTCTGTGTTTATTTTATATATATTTTTTCAATCCCCAGCCTTCATTTTTCATGTCATTTTTCATATTACTGCTACCAAAACCAATAATCATTTGTCCTGCATCTCACTCATTCTTTGTGCACTTAAAAGCTTCTGAAATGAAATTCCCCTTCTTCTCTGCTCTTACCTTCCCAGATTAAATATACCTATTTGTCATCCTTCCAAGCTTTCCACTTTCTGTTGTCAACAATCACTCCGCCGTTTTAGACCTTCTCTCCCAGAGGGATTTCCTCTTTGACCAGACCTTATTTTCTGTTCAGCTAATCAACAGCACGATCCACATCTTCTTTCAAGGAACTTTTAAAACACGTTCTTGCAACTTTTGTAGATATTTCTTCCTTTTCAGCCAAGAATCAGGATGGAAAATAAATTAACTAAAACTTTTTAAATAAGCTTTTATCAGTTTAACATTGAAGTACATACAGCACTTTTTCAAGGTTATCATATTATCAATATGTGTATTACAAGAGTTTTTCACCATTTATCAGATGTCAAGCCCTGTAATTAGTTTAAATTGGTAATATGTATGCTTGTATTGCTTTAGTTTCTATTTTTTCAATTCCATATTGCATTTTGTGTCATCTTCTGCTAACTGTTAATGCCAATTTAAGAAATTTCAATTCTCACTACAATATCATTGTATACCAACAATTTTAAACTACGCTGTTATTAGCTTTCTCAAAACAGAATTCTAGAAAACTGTCATTCTTAAACAGCAATGTGTTTTCTGTCTTGTCAATGTCCTTCTGTGGATGATGGAAGAAAATTAAAAGACTCATGCAGAGAATCTTGAAAGGACACGAGAACAGTAAGAATACCAAGACTCCAAATATGGACATAAAAACATTACAGTACTATAAATTGTTTTGTAGATATATAAAACTCCTTTCTTGATGTAGCACTTTCAAAATCTTACTTCAAAGAAAAAAGTAAGATTAAGCAATTTACAGATATATTTTTCAATACTAAAGAGTGCAACTGGAACATTTAACAGACTAAAAGATCGTTCTCTGCCAAAAAACTTCCAACAGCCTAATATTAATTAGAGGAAATTTAATCAAGTATAATAGTATAAGAGGATATTACTAGACATAAGTTAAAACAAGGAAAAAATGCATATTTACTGAGCTTTGGTATTCTAAGGTCAAGGATTTTAAGTGTTTGTCTGCAACCATGTAAAGCAAACTGAAAGCGAAGAGCTGAACAGTGCTGGGAAACAGAACTGGATGAAACTTATTCAGACAGTATTCTTTTATTGTAAGAAACCCTATATCACAGTTTCAAACCAAAATGACAGTGCAGAGACCAAATGAAACTAGATACCAAAACACTTTAATCACAGGTATATAAGATATACAAACTACATAACTTCACTGTGCTGTCCAGAAGGAAGGCTGAGCAGGCCAGTTCAGTGGTCATAGTGTGGGGTGTACCATCCTGGGCCTGTGCTATGGGGTCTGCTTGATGTTACCTCAGTGCCCTTTTCTGCTATCCTATCGATCCTGTCTTGAGAATCACTATTCCTTACAGAGAACTTTACTCTTTTTTTTTAATTTTATTTCTGTTTCTTCTTCTGCAGGCTGTTCCAGAGCTTTCCTTGGCTTCAAATGGCTTTTAATAAGGTCTTTCATTTTAATGGGTGTTTTTATTCACATCACCTTTTGAAAACTACACCAGCCAGTCATGGCTGGGCTTCACGAACGAAGATTTGGAAAGGGCTCTACCCACGTTTGTTGCAAACGCGTTGACACCAGCCAGTATTTGGGGTTTTTTTCCAACTAAACCTTGTCTTTCTTAGAGGCCCTCAGAAAAAAGTCTTAAAGTGCATATTTTGACCTACCATAAAACTTCTCCAATTTTAAAGTTATTTCTATTTTCTGTATCAGACATCAGAATCTTCTTTTATCTCAAACAATACCACATCAAATTCTGTGTTCTCTGAAAATGTCAAGATGTCAATGTTTTCTGTCTAGTCCCTTACTTAAAATGTTAAGTGTGACCTCAGCACCCACACGTGCAGAGTTTCACTGATAAATTCTCATAACACTAATTATTCATATATTTGCATAACCTTTAGCTAAAATACTTTATTTTCTCAAGTTTATTCACTTAATTCTTTTGTGACACTCCTCAGACACATTTAATGAAGTTCAGGGAGATTTTCTAGACAAAGCAATCAGCTTACAATGAAAAAAAATGATCAGGCACAGTCTATTTTTAATATAAGTCAACATTGTAACTGCTAGTGCTGCAACATTAAAAAATAAATTATCCTGAGCCTTGTGTTAAAATTGTGAGTGATAATATCTTAAAGTAATCAGTGGCTTTGTGAGCTATTTCACCAAAAGCTGTTAAAATATTTTGAAAGTCCTGTCCTTAATTTTAATTGGTTCTATATTTTTATAGATCCAAGGTTTAAAACAAAAAAAGGAATAACAAGACATTTTAAAGTTATTACCAATTACAGAATTCTGTCAAAGTATCACCTCTAAAGATTCATTGTGACACAAGCATGAGAAACAAATTTGGTAAGACATCATAGTATATTTAAAAGGCAAGCTACAAAATGGCAATGGACAAGCAAGACCCTTTAGCTACAACTAACCTACTGTCCACATGTCAGGTTAGATTTTTTTTTTTTAACTTGACTTTCATACTTTGACACTGACTTACCTGGATGTCAAACTAAATTAGACCAAAGAAAGGAAATATTCTTAAGTAATAGTGAATGGGTCTACTGTACTTTTTAAAAAAAACATGGCTAATTAGGTAGTTACAATACAAAAAGGTAAAAATAGGCAGAGGTGACATTAAGATGAACTTTGAATCCTTACAGATGTACAGAATAAAATAGCTGTAAAGCTTTTTAGTTTGTCACAGGAAGTGCTCTCCCTGTCATTACCTTGCTATTTATTTATTTGTTTATTTATTTATTTGTTTATTTCTCTATTTATTTATTTTTACCCAAAATAACACCTTTTCCTATCTAACCAATGGCTAACTGAAAAATCTTACCATACTGTCACAGAAGTATTTTAAATGAGTAGCTTTAAGAATTTTAAATATCTGCAAAACATTTTATGCATCAAGGATCAAAACAGAAGAGAAATCTAAATTCACTCATGCTGAAATATTTTCACTTACATCTGATAGTACGTCACCTTCAGCTCAAGATATGTCTTTGAAAACAGGACCTAATAAAGAAAAGTGAAAGGTTCCATGAAATATTGCTTTTCTGGCCCACAGCCCAAGAATATATCGAGGAAAATGCACGAAGATCTGTGTGGTCAAAACTAAAAAGGTCAGTAATATTCTAAATATAAAATTAGTTATTTCTGGTATATATACTCTAAATGAAGAGATGTGAAAACATAACTCCTCCTTTTCAACTTGTTTTCAGATAACCAATTGAATAAACTTAAGTAAGTAAATAAATGGATGAATAACAAATAAAGGTGATTGCACTGAAGTCCTCTGTGAGGAATCAGAACTCAATAAAACTGTAGTAGTCAATGTGTTACAGGCAGAAATATTCTTAATGGTTTATTCAGTAAAAGAATCACATCTTGCAGAGTTCAGTGTCTGATAGATATATGTGAACTTAGTTTATTATTTTAACTATTCAAAAGTCTGTAGAACCTCGTCTATACTAGTGAAAAGAAAGGAAGGACAAATATATGGGCTTGCTTCATGGACTTCTCTTCCTCTAACTGACAGAAGTTCTTACATGTTTTGTGACATCTTGCCAGACCATTGTAATATACTTATCGGTATTCCTTAGAGCAATTGCTCAAAACTCTCCTGACATACCAGAAAGTTCATTGGCACACTACTGCTACCTCAGTAGAATTTACTTATTTTAAATTAATATAAAAACATTTGAAAACCCACAAGCAGTGCTTTGTTGTGTTTTTTTTTTCTTTCAGTTTGTTCCTATGTTACCGAGATCTTCAAGCATTCAGTTTCCAGGTAATAATAGTCTTTTTCCAAATAATATTTTTTTACTCTTGACAATTTATTTGTTTGTAATGTGCTGTGTTTCTTTAATTTATCAGCAAGAAACATCTACTAGGAGAAGGGATGGGAAAAAAAGTTAATAGAATTAGAAAAAAAGTCTCACAGTCAAATTATTAACACAAAAAGACGGTTTAGAGGTAAATTGATAATAATTTGTAAATACCTCCAAAGGGAGGAAATATAAAGTACATGTTTTAGTGATGAAGGACATAACAGAAAGGAGTAGAATAACACTTGAAAAAAGATTACTTTGAACTACAAAAAAGGACAAAAAAGGATATTGATAAGTGTTGAAATAATAGTAGTCATTAATAGTAAAAATTGTGAAAGATTAATCTGGAAAGTACTGAACGAACTCTTCACATCTTTAAATCAAGATAAATGCCCTCCTGAAATATAGGTTTAATGAAATAAGTTATGAAGCTCAATATGGGAATAAATAGATAGAAATTTTTGTGATATAGGAGGTCAAAGTAGATGATCTAATGGAACTTCTGGCCTTAAAATATATGAAACTGTGAAGAGTTAACCAATAAACCATATGGTGATAATTTTTTCTGTCCAACTCAGCCATTTATATGCAATAAATTCTCCAAGAACAGAAAGAACGCACTCCAGGGCCTCGTCTTTCCTTGTCTTTTGCACCATTAAATCTACTTCTGAAGGCTAAATTCGGTGTAGTTAGACAATTGTGCCTTGATACAGGGAAAAATGCTGAGTATTTGAAGCTCTATTCATGAAAAAACAAAAAGAAGGCTAGTAAACAGCATCTCCCAGAAACTGTTGCTAAAAACTCAAAGGTAATTACATTTATCAACTTCTTAAATCTGCTGAAATTTATCAAGCTAAAACTTATTTTTGTAAAACAAACAAACAAATTACAGTTAACACACTGACAGTACTGGAACTCTCATGTTGACGATAGCAATCTAAATAATATTGGATTACTTTTTTAATCAAATATCCTCTTCCTTGATTTGAATCACAACTAATTCAGGAAACTCCTGTGGTGTGCTGTGCATAACATTATCAAAATGAACAGAGTTATTTCTGTAAAATATGTATAAATTCACCTTCAAACACATATGTCACTTAAAAAGAGATCCTGATCTTGTGTAAAGGAATTTATGAACTAATGATCTTTCAGATGTGTCACACTCACAGCAGGTTGTTTGGGAACAGAACACTGAAAACAGTAAATTTTCAGCATAGCACTATAAAAATACATAACATTACAGTGGGATTGAGGGCAAGTCACTAACCTTCCCATGCAGACAATCTTAGTTGTTGGCAATATAATTCCCTTAATTCTCAGATTGAGGTGATCCTATGTGTTAGAAGTAATTTAATTACACATTTTGACTATTTGTTTAAAACATTGCAGGAAATGCTTTTGTCACTCATCCTGCACATCTTTGCTTTGCAGAATCCTTGGTTCTACAATATCTGACTTTTCCGTTCCTTCTTCTTTTTTTCTGCATCAAAATACTAATGGTGAAAGATAAAAAAAGAATTCACAGCATTTACGTTTGTAATAGGAAGAATCTAATAAAAAAATCTCTTCATCTATTGATTCTGTCTACCTTTCTTTTTCTGATAAAACCAGTACTGTTAGGGCTATGATTTAACTTTTAGTGCTTTATGTAAAATCTACACTTCTATGTGTTGGGTTTTTATTCTTATCAGGAAACTGAATAATCCATATGTTGAACCAATTTTCACTACCGCTATTTGATCAAGCTGATCTGGCAAACTGTATTCCTCCTCAGTTCCTCTGTTTTGATATATTTGCCTGGACTTTTCTAAATTATGTGTGACCTGGACATAACCTTTGTTTAATTTAAATTGCAGCAGAGAAATAAGAAGAGCTTTAATATTTAGGACACTTAGGAATGGATGTCCAACAGTTAGGCAGCAGTTATTTAGTGCATTTAAAACAGATGAGGATAAAATAAAAGATATTTCTCTGTTCCTGCACTGGCAGAGCTTTTTGTTAAGTCTCTTTTTCAAATATTCTGACTATGTAGGGAGCACCTTAGAGCTTGCAACAATGAAAACTGAAGGAGAGGATACAAATAATTTAACCTAAACAAAAGTAAACAAAATCTTTAAAGTTCTTTTGAAGTTCAGCTCTTAGGCTGAAAGATATCATGGGGAGATGATAGATTTGCTGCCACTGGGTTAAATTAGAGCACCTATAAATTACATCTCCTTGACTACACTTCTCTCCCACATCCTCGCATTGAAAGAAGATTCATTAGAGAATGTCAGCTTTACATGAATTTTACATGAATGAATTCTAGCTAGTTAATTACAAGTAGAATCTATTTCTTTGTATTTCCTGAGCAACAAAGAAATATATTACCCCAGTTACTCTGAAACATAAAAGCTGCATTATAAACTTATTAAAACTAGAAGCTCTACACAGCCTAACCAGTCTTCCAGGATGACTGCTAAGAGAGAGAGAGGGGAGGTGACAGTGAGAGAAAAGCTTTCTGAGAGTCATCTTCATGGATTACATGCCCACTAATCAAAATCAAATATTCTCAGTGAAATACTTGAATTCTGAAAATTCCTATGACTATGTTTTCCTTGTTGAAGCCCTAGTAAGGGAAATTTTACCTCAAGATTGTTGCCAGCATAGATTATTAAGAAATAAAAATGAAGACATTCCTGTCATAGTTGGCAGGAATTCCTCAGAATTCATCAGAAAACTTCTATTTGTATGTAGCTGGAACCTAGAAGGTTGCACTAGAAAGGCTTTTTTTAGAGAGATTCAGAGATGAAAATTAGAAATATTTATTTTGCAGACAGATGTGATACACTAGTTTTCAGGTGTTGTGCGTGGCAATATAACTCTTATAAGTAATTTAGAAATACCTTTGCAATATTTCCTATTTTGATTCATTAGTATTCAGAACAAGTTTTCCTCTGATTAATCCTCGATGTAGGAAGTTAAGAAATGAAATATTAATATGATCTGGGGATGTACTATAACTGCAATTCATTTTTCCTAATTAGAAACTTGAGCATTTTGAATAACAAACTGTATTTTTCTTATATGAGCTGGATTTCAAAAATAGCCACAGCAAGACCAGCAATACAGCAAAACAAAAAAGTAGGAAAGAATTATGAATAATCACTGCCTGAAGTATTGAAAAACATAATCAGGTGAAGAAGGGATGCACCAACCTCTAATAATGCTTTAAAAAAGCGGGGAAACACACTTCACACAGTCATTCCTTCACATCCAGTATCTCTGTAAAAAGACTGTGTAGAACAGTAAATTTCCGGTATATTTCAGAAATGTAGGAAACCAATTCTAAAGATAAGATTACAGCTCTAGGTAGTAAAATCTGATGTCTAGAAGGTAAAGGCATGAGTGGAGCTTCGCAATTCGTCATATAAAAATAACATGGGATTTTTATTTTATGTGGAAATATAGTTTATCTCAACAACCATTAGTCACTGGATATTGTTATGATTCCTGCATTATATTATTATAACATTAAATTAATGCTATATAATACAATAACATTTAGAGTAATGGTTAAAAGAAGGGCTGTCCTTCAGGATACATTCTGGAATGCCCACAGGGAAATAGTTGCCTGTGGAGATGGGAACCTTCTAATCACTGAATGCCTTCTACAGTTGCCTGACCATGCCTACTACTTCCTTGGACACTGCAGTCTCAGAATTAAAACCAGAAGGAAGACAATAATTTATTTCTGATTCCATAAGCTAAGCCAGTGGAGAGTTCAAACCACTGAAGTACTCAAGAGGCTAAACTGCTACACATCTTTGGAAACTGAAAACCAAGCTGTCACAGATGCTTGCAGAGTTTGCAGTGGCAAGGAGTTTCTTTACTTAAGATGTGGCCAGACAGTCTTCACAGTTTTCCTAGGCCCTGGTGAAGAAAAAATTATTGAAGTTGTTACCTATATAATGATGATTTGGGAAGAGGGAATATCTCCTCAAACTTTGTAATCACTGTGGTATGTGAAGAGAAACAGAACAGGAATATAATCCCACATCCCATCTGAGCATTATATTCTGTAACCAGTACTCCACTCACAGCTGTTGCCAATCCCTGATTCTTCAGTATAAGGAACAAAAAAGCAAATACAGACCTACAGAAAACCTGAAGAATAATGGCCAGGGATCTATCCATTTTTAGGAAACAAAAAAAAGTCCTTCCTGAACAACACTGACTGCTTGAAAAAAAAACAAAGATTTTGTTTTTAACAATTCTTTCTTTTTGTGTGTGTGCTTTTTTTTTACTTGAACCTAAATCAATGTTTCCTGAAAAAACTTGGAAGAACTTTTTACTCTGCTGTCTGTGTAATTAGTGTTCAAACCAATTTGTAAAGATTTTAGTGCAAGTGCAGAAATGTTATTGATTAGTAGCTTAACTACGCACTGGAGAAGATTCCCTTGTTTCTTGGTCTATGCACTCAAAGAATTCAGAGTTCTTGAAGACACTGACCTTGGACTGAATAAAAGATTTTAGCCGTAAGGACTTTAAATACATAACTTGAACCTCAAGAAAAGACTATATGCTTATAAAGCATATCGCTCTGAGGAAAATCTAAAACTATTTTAATTGTGAATGTGTTAAATGAAAGACTTATTCCTCAATATAAATATCAATTTATATTGATAAATTAAATATAGTGAAGAACAAAAAACCAAACGCAAAACAAAACCAAAACCATCAAAAATAATCTATTGGCTGTTGTGATCATTGAAGCATAGGATTTTCTGAATGCCCAGCACCATCCTTAGGCATCCTTAAACAAGTTCATTCCCCTCCATTAGCAGCTGTGAACCATCCTAATAAGTAATTTGCAGAGTAGTTTGATAACAAGAACAAAAGATTGCTTTGAAGTATCATCATTATCATGTTAATGTAAATAGTGGTGAAGTGTAGGGCACTTGGCACAACTCCTTAC